CATAGACATGTTTTTATATATTTATATATCTGAGACCCATAATATATGCCTAAAAATAGCATGATAGGTGACCTTTAAATGCTCTTTAATTATAGACCACATTCAGTGTCCCTGAATGACCCTCTAAGGCCCTTAAATTACACGCTGAATTCCCTCCTGAAGAACTGCAATTATTCCCCTCAGCGGCTCTAAATAACCTCTTAAACTCTCCGCTGCCTCTCGGCGCCCCGTAGTAAAGCTTTCAGAAACCTGCCACACTTCTTACCTCCGCCCTGCATCATCTTGTAGAACTTGCTCTCGATGTGGAGCTGTGGGTGTTTGGTTTTCACACATTCCAGTTTTATGGCCACTTCCTCTCCGGTAGCGATGTTAGAGCCTGGAGAGAGGAATCACAATACTTTTAAAAATCAAAGGGGGAATTGGGTTTGGGTACAGTTTCTCCTTTTTAGAAGGAAACAAATGTAAAAAATAGATAAATAAATGGATTATAATGAATATATCAACTAACAGATACATATATAAATAAATAAATAAATAGATAAATAGATAAATAGATGAATAGATAAATATATAAATATATAAATTAATGTATAAATACATCAATAAATAAATAGATCAATTAATAGATCAACCAACAGATACATACATATATAAATATTAAATAAATAGATGAATAGATAAATAGATAAATAAATATATTAATTAATTAATTAATTAATGTATAATACATCGATAAATAAATAGGTAAATAAATACGTAAATATAAATATACAATATAATACAAATACAATTAAAGAAATAACTGTAAAAAAAATTATATATATCTGGATTAAAGGTGGGGTAGGTCATTTTGGAGAAACCAGCTCGAGTGCGCTAGAATTTGAAAATACACAGCCGAAAAAAATCTGCCCCTTCCTTCAGACTTCCTTACAGAGCCCCTCCTCCAACACACACGAACGCACACATGACCAATGAGGGCACGGGATAAGTTTGTGCACAGATGGAAGGCTGACAGGCAGGTAGGCCATCCAGTTATTTTAGCCGGGCCGGCTCAGATGATTGGTCGTGCTTTTTACAGCGCCACGGCTTCCACAGATGATATTTTGTTATATATTTATTGTCAAAGCATTTAATGTATTCATTGCTATCGGGATGTTAAGAGCATTCCATGGAATATAACAAAAAGTGCATGCATCAAAGAAATGTCCTTGTACATATTTTACTTGGTAATAAACCATAGTCTTATTCAGGTTAACAGAAGCAGTGTAAACTCTCACCGAGGTAAATATCTCCGAAGGATCCGCTCCCGATCTTCCTCCCGAGGCGGTACTTGTTCCCCACCCTCAGCTCCATGGCTGCCGAGCTTTTCAACTCACTGACACACACGCACGCACGCACGCACGCACGCAGGCAGGCACACACACACACACACACACACACACACACACACACACACACACACACACACACACACACACACATCAATCAGAGGTGATCAATAGAGCGAAAGGACAGTGGTGCAAAGCTGCAGACGTTAAACTCAAAGCTCCTGGGGCGGCAGCTTCTTGAAAGAAAGTGAAACGGGAAGCTTTTGGGAAACGGCAAAATGATGAAAATGAAAAAGTGCAAATCACTGAAGCACAGCAGAGACGTGGAGAAGAGTTACATCTCTGGAAATGTGGAGGAAAACGTTGCTTACTTTCAGCTACTGAGTGACTTTATGTGAGTTTATGCAATGTGGGAGAAAAACGTGTTTAAATCACGCTAGAAAAACAACATGACACACAATGAGTGAGCAACGACAAAAGTTGAAGCCAAAAACACCATGTGGATTTAGTAAAGATAAACGTAGGACATAAGTAAACACACAAAAAAGACACATGAAATATTGTTATGATAGTTAAAATGATAGTTCAAACTGATAAGGAGTAGGAATTTAGCAACCAACCAGTAAGATTTGATAAGGCACAAATCAAATAATAAAAGTGTTAAAATCATGCGGGGGGGATTGAGGGGATTGAGGGGTCGAAATGAATCGCAGCTCACGAGCATATCAGAGAGATATTAGGATTCAAAAGAGTATTAAAATGTCTAATCAATTAAACATCACAAATCAATTTACTGGATGCCCATGTAACAATCTCAACACAGGTGTAACATGGTCTTATTTCAATATTACATGACACTTTTTAGATGCGTTTATCCAAAGCGACTAACATACTCAATACTGTGGACAATCCCCACAGGAGCAATTTGGGGTGAAGTGTCTCAGGGACACAACGACATGCAGACTGCAGTGGGGTTTGAACCTGTGACCCCCTGATCCGAACACCAACGCACAACCCACTGCACCACACACCTCCCACTAGCAATAGTAGCAGCAATACCCAGGACCACCCTGCTTCTGTTGGCCAGGTTTTGTTAAGTTAAAAACATCCGACTTCAGAGGAATAAATAATACATTATGGTAATTTAGAGAACAACAATGTAGGCCAAGTAAGTGTTTAGAAAAGTGCACAGGGGAAAAAGGGGCTAGCTAAAGTGTGAAGTTAAAACTGATTTATTCTGTAGGAAAGGGGGGGGAGGGGGGTTCAGCCTCTCACACACTCTTCCCAAAGCACTTCAAGGCTGTCTGGTCCTGTGTATAATTTCTTTGAACTGGAGTCCCCTGACGGATTTAGCATGAGTCATGTTTTCTGTATGTGTCTGAAGAGCCATGAAGCAGGGATTAAAAAGTGAGGTTTTTTTTCCCCCCCGACATTTACAAGCCAGTTTGACATTGCACTAAATGCTGACTAAGTTCGTTTTGGCTGCATTGTAGACCTACACTCCATCCACATTGCACTGTGCAGGGGGAAATGCTGCACATTAGCAAACAGGGACTAAAAGTGAGGGTATGACTGTGATTCATCTGTAAATAACTGTGCAATATATCATTTTACTTGCACTACTGCTACCTGGCTGCTGTCACACTACCAAACCCTTTACCTCATCTCTCCTCAGAGCTGCTGTGTTACAACACTGAGAATGCTGCAAAACGCTGCAAAAAAACAGGCGTGATGTTTTCAGAGAGTCTTGCATTTGCTCCAGATAGCACAGGAGAATTGGAAAAACACATCCCAGAATGACCATCAAATGGGGGGATAATTCCTAAAACCGCACCCTCAATGCATAGGTAGGACCCCTTAACAAACACACACCCATTTAACAAACACACACCCATTTAACACACACACACACACACACACACACACACACACACACACACACACACACACACACACACACACACACACACGCCTCGCGTCGAGACACCTTGACTAGCCAACATGGACCCCCACCCCACCGCCTCCTCCTCCTCACCGGGTTATGTCAGGTTTCCTGTGGCTGTCTCTCACTCAGGACCCCGGACAGCGACGCTCCAAAGCGGCTTCGGACGGCTCATAACCTCGGAAACCCGAACCCGAACACTTCCGAAAAAAAACGAACCCCTTGCAAAAAAAAATACAGCAGACAGAAGCTCCTGGAAGATTCTCTGTGAGGATATTTGAGTGTTTTTTGGGGAGGGAAAATGCCGAAAGCAGACACTGAGGTCCTTCTCTCTCGCTGCTGTGCTCTCTCGCTCGCTCTCTCTCTATCTCTCTCTCCCCTCACACACCCCCACCCTCTCTCTCTCATTTACACCATTGACAATATCAATGATGTCATGCACAGACTGGAGGAAATACCCGGATGTTCTTAAAGGCACAGTGCCGCTACTGCAGGCATGAATGAAGCGCATCACTTCAATTTGAGATGCTACATGCATTTGAACTAATGCATGACTTTTAATGACGTTCATTCTTAAAATATAAAATAGGGAACAAATATAGCATTGCTCTGTGTAACACTAATTGCTGTAACTCCTCTAGTGGTAAATACTATTTATGTAGAGGACATCATACACTGCATCAAGATTTAGATTCATAATGCAAAATATAACAAACAAATACATACTTTGTTGTGCTGTAGGTTAAGATAACACGTTTTTGCTGGTGAATTAATAAGCTACCAGGCAGTATTTAGTACAAATTAAATGAATAAACTCCTTCTTTAACTAGCTGCTAAATTAAAGTAGCATGAATGCACCAATACATACATTTAAAACAAAATATGTATTATCCCGAAGTCGTTTAATTATTATTGTGTATTTTTACATTTTTGTATTACTATTTTTACTTCAGTATAACTGTAACATGTAAGTACTTAGTCTGGAGCTAAAAGTGGAGCCTTTGTTAGCTTAGCTTGCACTAGGCTAATTCATTTAACATCTGTTGGGCCTAAAAGTAGTTGCCATGACTATCTGTAAGTACAAATAATAATTCATTTTATTTATCAAGCGCTTTATCAGGTGCTCAAAGACACTTTTAAGATGTAAAAAGATATGAAAAACGAGCTAATAAACAACATTTTAAAATAATCACCATGACGTAGACGTTAGCATACAAACCGCTTCCCTAGCTTAAATGCTAATAGCTAGCTTACTTTGTTTTCAAAACATTCAGTAAGAAAAAAAACATTTTAAGTGTATTTTTTAACACACACCTAGACCAATATAGTCTTTCCTTTTTGCAATCATCTTACCTCAACAAGAGCATCCATTCTCTTCTTGAGAGCTCACTTGAAAATAAAATTACAGGTTAAATTGTGACAAGATGCAAGTAAGATACATCAGGGTATATAAAACGTTTTTTAAACACAAATATTATCATTACAGAGTATATCAATAATAACCTTTCAATTATATTGTTTGTCCTTTTTCAATTTTTATATAAATATTTGTGTTAGTTACTCTGAATAATTACTTCCCAGATAAAGCGCAAAATAATACAGTCTGCATGCAATTGGCTAAAGTTATAGGTTTTCATGAGAAATTTCTCTCAACCCAGGTCAGTCGATGTTTGCAAACCTAAATGACTCTTTCCTACAGCAATACATCAGAGGCCACCTTGAACTTGAGGATTGCATCTCTTTTAGTCATTATAATTACTTCATTAGTCTTCTTAGCAGAATAAAACATGACCGTGTGACGCGATAAAAATCAGTGACTGCTTGAAAACTTATAATGCAGCATTCCCCCTCAAGTGTTCTCGCACTATTAACAAGAATAAGGGAGATTTTAAAATAGTTTCTTGGTCCAAGAAACACACTATAGTTGACCAAGTCACTGTGCTATTCAGTATGTATGGAACAAAGCTGTTAAAATATATTTTAAGATCATGTTTCGTCCTCTGATTCGTCTGCACATTGCCGTTTTAGTCTGCGTTCTTCCAGTTAGTGTCCATAGTGTGCCTATTGAGCCGTGTTGACCGATGTGGGACAAGCCCCTCTCTCTATCTAAATGAATTGGTGCTGTAAAAACTAGTGCCCATGCTCAGTCTTTTTCTATTCAATATGTGCGACAAAAAAATAATCACTAGTGGGGCAAAGTGCTGGCATACCCACCAAACGTCATCTCATCATTCAGAGAGCTGATTGGTTGTAAGTACGTGTGCCGCGAAAAGTGTATTTTGATACGAGGAGATGAGAGAGAGCAGCGTATAGCGATTAAAATCAGTAAAACGGAAAGAAAATGAATGAAGTTAACCATCTACTTCAGCTTTGGTAAGTTCATTTTATGTTATCTTTTGTTGATCTTCTGTGTTTTACCTATAGGCTATTGCTCTGCTGGATCGATTGATATTGTGACCTCAGTGATGAGTGTCTTGTGTTTTCCTTATACCCCCGCCCCCCTCTCTATCGGAACCATGGATAGCCTTCCGCAGAGGTGCCCAATACGTCGATCGCAAAGGTAGTGTGGGTAGATGGCATGGCATTTAAAAAAAAAAAAAAAAAGGGGGTGAAAAGGGTTTTACATTTAATGAATTATGAATATTGTTACATCAAGGCCGAAAATTAGGATGAGCACCAACGGTCCAAAAAGTTTTTTTTCCCTCCCAGAGCTGCCAGAGCAGCGCCTCCCCGATCTGGCGCCCTAGGCGAACCTCTATAACGCCAGTGCTACGGGCGGCCCTGGGTATAACAATTACCAAAAATGTACTGAGTTGTATTGTGCCATATGGGTTCATGCAGTTATGAGGGGGGCCTCACCTCCTCATCTTAAGCTATTATGCGCTAATGCGGCGCAATTAGTGTAAGCGCGCCAGATTGGGCGCTGTAGGTAGGTCATTTGGATTTGGTCATCTCAAAAGTAGCTCCCAAGCTGAACAAGTGTGGGCACCCCTGGCCTACAGCTATTTGTTTACGTGTTTAAAAAAGCACCAGAAGCTTATATATACACACATCTAAGTTGTTCGTGCCCCAGCACTATTTTACATATAAAAACGCCACTGATTTAAATCATTAATTTAACCTGAAACAGCAACGGTAAATTTATGAATAGCATCCTGTAGGTAAACAAAAAACAAACCACCACAGACTTCAATTCAACCTTTATTATCTTGTTCTTTTCTGCTTTAAATTAATTTCCTCTCCTTTCTGTAACATCTGAAATAAATGAAAACATCCTGAACAGGAGTGATAATAAAGACTGACTTAATTTAAATGGATACATAACAAAACAAAAGAAAAACAGTAAAACATAACAGGTAATGTCTTTAACGTGTCTGTAAAACACTGTTCCAGCTCAGCTTGGTATGGTAGGATTTGGCATTTTTTAATAGAAATGCCTTCAGTTGGTTACTTCGTCTTAAAAACAAAATATTCATTTATTGCAATTGGCAAAAAAAAAAAAAATACAAACAGGAACGAAATGCTGCTAAAAAAATACACGAAAATTTAAGAGACATATGCAATAGTGCCAATGTTTTTGAACTTTTTAGCTATTACAATATCCAAACAGTCGAGCACATGTACACACACTCGCACACATACTCGCACACACACTCGCGCACACACACACACACACACACACACACACACACACACTTTCTCTCAAATGTAAGATGTCAGATTAATTCACTTCCCTGACTGGAGCAGATAAGTGTTCAAGAGCACGCACACACACACACACACACACATTTCTCATGAATCTCTCATGGACAAGAAAGAAAAAAAACATTCAACATTTTAGCAATAACACACACACACTCCCGATATAATCAGCATCATCATTATCTTCATCACATCCTCCTCCATTCGGTCATACTGTCATCACTCCTTTCATGCACACACAGGCAGGCAGGAGGGCACCTTGTACAGCGAGTAAATAAGTGATCGTAGTCATCATTAACATCATGATAATATATAATTATAACCAACTTGATTTCTCGAGTAAGAAAAAATACAATAGCGAGGTCAGTGTTTGAAGGGCAAACAAAAAAGGAGGACATCTTTGAATTTCCACAACGTTTCTCACATTTTTCTTTTAAAACAGAAACAGAAAATAAAGATTAACATCAACGAGGAGATACAATTTCGCTTGTCAAATATAAGAGCAGTGTGGAACTGATGAACGGTGTGAAGGCTGCTGACGTGGCCGCTGGTTTTGAGCCAAGGCCACTGCTGTTGTAACATTAAGTCGTCCTGTTTTGTAGCCGTTTGAAAAAGAATGGAGGGATCTGTGGAGGATGTGTCAACAACAAACCCAGAGGCATATAGTGCAAGTTTGGCTAATGTTGTTTCTGTTTTGATATTTTTTTTTACCCTGGGTCCCATGTTGATGGCATATTTCCACCAAGGTGTCGGTACCTACTTACAAAAAGACGCTTTTCTTCTCTCTGCTGATCGTCCGTTTGACTCAGTAGTGTGGCGCTGTCCCCCCCCCCAAAAAATCTCCTCTACAAACTCCAGATGCTTCCCCTCCAAACATGAGAACTTTGAAGAACGCCAGCCAGGTCTACGAGGGCTCAGTCTGCAAGTCTGACATTTTTGTTTTTTTGAGATTACATAGTAATACAAAAGAAAGTAAATTGTGGCACACTAAAAACAGCAATAGCTAAACTTGTACGACTCTGGCTGAGCCTGTCTACAGTGCATGCCTGAGTGATCGGGTCTCTGAGCGATGGGATTTGGAGTAAAAAGACCGAAGAGCTATCCAGTTACAGAGTTTAATGGATTTCCAAGTTCAAGTTTTACTGTTGTCTTCATTTAAAGTTAAAGCGGCTTAATGAATGTGTGTGTGTAGTTTGACTGCTGGGTGACCAATGTAGCTTTAATTTATGTCATCTCTACGTGTAAATAAATACAGAGTGTGACATCACAACTTTAAAAGGTGTCAGTCGGCCCCCCCTCCCAGCAGGTCCCCCGGCAGCAGGGAGGCGGGGCTGCCCATCTGGTGCCGATCCTCCAGGGCGGGGGTCCCCCAGAGACTGGTGCTGGGGTACCCCGGCCCGCTCATCCCCCCCCACAGACCCTGCCGCCCGGCCTCCACGCCTCCAGCCCCCCCCACCACGGTCCCGTTGCTGCTCCACTGGGAGTAGACCCCCAAACCGGGCCCCTGGGTGGAGGTCTGGTCCGAAGAGCTGCCTGTGCTGTCCAGACCCTGCCACCCGGAGCTGGAAGCCCCGCCTCCATTTCCTGCTGTTCCTCCTTCTCCTCCTCCTCCTCCATTATTACCTCCTCCTCCACTTCTATCGCAGCTTCCTCCGTTACCGTTGGCCCCCACAGCGGAGGAGGAGGAGGATGTGGGCCCGGAGCCTGAAGAGTTGGTGGGGTTTCCTCCTCCTCCTCCTGCCTGGGAATGTGCAATGTAGCGAGCCACGTCCTCCTCGCTCACAAACTCCGCCAAGATGGTGGTGTTACCCAGAACACACCTGATGTAAAGAGGAGAATCTGTCAGTATCTCTTTAGCGGGGATACAATTACTTCTGGACAATTCAAATTCAAATGTGCAATTTACACTGGGTTTTATAATACTTTATACCGTAAAGGAAATGTGATGGGATACAAATTCTTGTTTTTATGAGATTCTGCTTTCTTTTTATGTAAAGATTAAATAGATTTGCTTGTTGCCAGACTCAGTGTCATGAATATGGCTTGAATTGATCAATGTTATAACAACATGTATAGCAGTTAATAGCTTGAAATTCACTCAAACTTTAATTACAGTGCCTTCCACAAGACTCTCTCTCCAACTCACTACACTTATGGCGCATTTCCACTACAGCGCGGAGCGCGGTGTAAGCGTGCCATGCCGTGCCCGGCCCGTTTTTGGTTGCGTTTCCACTAGGCTTAGTTCCGGCTAGCGGGTACTTTTTCACAGTTTTCTGGCTCTCCAAAATCGTCGTTCTTTCCAGGCCAACAACCGGGCTGAGTATGCTAACTAGTGAGAGAATCGCTGGCAACTACAACAAAATGAACATATTTGACCGTGATTTAATTGTAATACACGTTTCAAAAATAATGACGAAGTAACAACATACTGATACCGGTTAGTAAAAACCATGAATTAATGCTTTGACAAGTCTGCAGACAGACGGCAGGCGAGAAACCTTTTTAAAATGCGTGTTTTCTGAATGGAGATCGGCTAAGCTAACGTTGTAAATGCTCCGACCGTCCACGCTCGCAACAACGGCCTACAGACATAAATAAAGCAGCGACTGTATTCTCCATGACACAGACAGTCTGTGGTTTGTACTTGTTTAACTTTTCTCTACTTTCTGGACAGATATGAGGAGTTGTGAGCTCTGAGGGCTAACAGCTAACGGCTGATATTGGTTTTGTGTTTCGCATTGAAGATGACGTCACGGCTCCGCCTACACTGCGTTACTATAGTTACTGCCCCAGCTACTAAACTGTAATGGAAACGCAGCATAAAGTGACCCTGGCCTAACGAGGCCTAACTATACCGTACTAAGCAGTGCAAGTGGAAAAGCGCCATAAGCTGTGTATAATCTGGACATTGTGAAAGCTCTAAATATTTTTAGGGGTTTTAAGAAGATACTAGTTCCAATTTGACCATTTATACGAGAGTGAAAATATGAAGATGTCACTAAGAAATGACTGTAGTCTTACATGTGGAGTGCGCTCTGGGCCTTGGCCGCCTCCTGTTTGGAGCCGTAGCGAATCAGAGCGGTGCCCTGCGTCAGGCCGAGGTGAAAGGTCAGCAGAGGGCCGTGCTGCATGCAGATGGTCCGCAGAGTGGAGCCGTCAATCTGCAGGAAACACAAGATGGGCAAGGTGAACTTAAATGGAAGAACGATGGGTCAAGGTTGACAAGATTCAGAGCATTTCAAAATGTGTACTGCCCCATTTATGATTGGTTCACAAAACAATTTATTATCAGGGTTATGGACTAACTTTAAGCTACATTTTCATTGCCCAAGAGTTCATGGATTTAATTAAGCCTCGTTTTTG